CGGGCCCCGGATTGGCGCCATTCGCCCTGCTCACAGGGCCGTGTCCGCAGGTATTTCCCGGCTGTTCTGGAGGAATTCTCCAAAGCGGGGATTCTCGACGCCGTCATCGCCGCGGGTGAAAAGAACCAGGATGGGTGCGACTGGCGAAATAAGAACGGCGATATCATCGCGGGCATCGACCCGCCTCCAGGGAATCCCTACTACGCCGTCATGCTGTCGCAACCGGAATTCTGCCAAGTCGTCCTCGACGCCCTCATCCAGACCGGAAATGCGGAAATCAACTTCAGACACACACTCCGCGGTTTCCAACAGCGCGATGGGCTGGTGGAGTACGACGTCGAAAACGAAGCGGCCAGCCAACCGCTGCGGTACAAATGTCGGTATTTAGTGGGAGCTGACGGCGGCAGGAGTACTGTTCGGCAGAACCTGGGAATCCAGCTGGAGGGGTATACGTGGGAGTCGATGCTCTTTGTGGCTGTGAACTTCGAGTATGGCCTCAGCGAGCTCGGCTGGAAGGCCGCCAACTTCATCGTTGATCCGGACGACTGGGGCGTTGTCGTCAAGCGAGGCAAGGGCAACAGCTGGCGACTGGCCACCGGGATTCTGTGCCCTGGGGCACCTACAGTCAAGGTCAACAAGCTGAATGAAGCCACAATCAACATTGTCAAAGATCGGCTTAGTCGCTTCCTCCCTGGCGATACAAGCCGCATCGAGTATCAAGCAATTGCGCCGTACGTTGTTCACCAACGCTGTGCCTCGAGCTTTGTTCAAGGCAATATCTTGCTGGCTGGAGACGCTGCTCATGTTAGTTTATCTAACCTTGCGTTTCATCCTTATCTCCCAATCCTCAAGCATCCTCATGAAGCTGTTATTCCGGTATGCTAATTCCATATTGCAGCTCAACAACCCGGTCGGGGGACTTGGACTCACAACGGGTATACTGGATGCTGCACATCTTGCCGGAAGCCTGCGGCAGGTCCTGAAGAACGGAGCCCCTGTAGAGCTGCTAACATCCTACTCCGAAACTAGACGGCGGGTCTTCCGCCAGACTACTAATCCCATCACGACTGCAAACCTGCGTCGACTATGGTCGACGACGCCCGAAGACGTCAAGGAAAGAGAGACCTTCTTCGAGAAACTGCGCGACCCGAAGGACGTGGCCACGCCTCTACAGGTCGGTCTCGTGGACTTTTCCCTCACCTCCACCTCCCACACCAAATTCGATACCTACCACGAGGTGACGTGGTTTATCTCGGTGACGAAGCGCCAGGATTGGGATATGGATACATTCAGGCACGAGTACAGGACCGTGCATGCCAACATGACCAGGAAAGGCAAGGAGCATGGCTCCCCACTCCGGCAATACGTCCAGCTCTCGAATAACGCGCAGACCATGACCATGAAAGGCGGAGTGCGAGCGGACTGGGACTATGTCTCGTGCCTCACTTTCCCAAACCTGTTCCTCGTCCACGCTGGCTTCCAGGATCCGGGCTACCGCGCTACTGCGGGGTCACATATCTTCTGCCGGCTGGATCAGCAGGGCTGTCTTACGCAGGAAGTGGCAAGACTCAGGAACGACACAGGCAGGACGAACGATGATGGCCACCGTGCTCGTGCCTTGTTGTTCCACGAGCGCAGCTCCCCGACCGATGAATACTCGCAGGAATGGCTTGAGGCACGGGTCGACGGACTAAGTGGCATTGTCCGTGCTGAGATGAGTATCACGGAATACGTCCTTTGGCGAGACATTACACCCAGAAATCTCGACTACTTTTTTCGGGAGACCCAGTTTTCTGCCGGGTCGTGGCACAGGTACAAGGCTGTCGAGGCTTTTGACTTTGTCGACGAAGATTCCGTCGCTGCTTTTCTAGATCGCCATGGTGAGGTCCTCGCGAGCGATAGGACTGGTCGTATCACGGTGGTTGCTGGGGTGCCAGACAACATATTGTGACAGGTAGCCGAACAGAACGTCGAGGGAAAAATGTAGGATTCTTTTTTTTTTCTCAGGGCAGACTTATGCTCCCGCATGACTGTTGGTGGTTGCATGGATGTTCAAGGACTGGCAAACATGTCAAGGGCATTAAAATGTGTATCGAGCCCTGCTATGCAACCAAATCACACTGGGGTATGTCTTCTGCCTCCTTCGCTGTAATGGTGTCAACCGGCTTCTTGCTCTGGTGTACTAAGAGTGAGACTCTGCCTCGCGTAGGCCAGGGCTACTGCATGCAATTGGCGTTATGCACCCAAAGATTGATATTTCAATCCAAATGGCACAGATGAGGACGTATTCACCCTTGTCATGATATCAGTCATGTCCAGACACCTTCTTGGTCAACCGATCGTACACAGAGGAAACTTCTATCGGCACCAGTACACTTAGAATATGCAAGCGAGGTCACCGAGTTCTAGCATACATTTAGAAAAAAATCTCCCAGGCCATCTGCGACCTTGTACGAAGTACTTCAACGTCGACTGCGCGCCCTTTGACAGAGGGAATATCACTTATGTATTGCTCAACTTCGGCCCTATGATTAGCTTTGAGGCGAAGAACCTTCCGATGGCATGTTAGACCTGCTTGGGATGGCCAGGGTACTTCCAGGAGCGAACCTTTCCTTGTTCAAGAGTAACAACATCAAAGATCTCTTCCGCAATACCTCCTGGGCTCGAAATTAGCGATTTGCGCAGTGATATCTGCGGGCGTTGGCGTCGAGCCCACCATACCTTTCCACAGACAGACGCAGTGCAGTGCATCCTGGAGACCATACGCAGAGTCATACTCCGACGGCTTCTTCGCGGCCACAACAACATACCAGGTAACGCATGGGTCTGTATTGAAAGGCTCAAGGCGTTCAACAGGGCGAACACCGCGGAACTCGCCGTCGCGGTTGAACAGCTTGGAGACGGACACAAAGTTCCCAATGGGGACAACTCGGCCACTGGAGAACCCATTTCGAACCCACGGGACCTTGTCCCGGAGATCCTGGGCGTCTTTCAGGAGCTGGATCCCCTTCCAGTGAACCACAGCCCCGTTAATCTGGTCCCCGTTCTCGGTTGCGAGTGGGAAGAACCGAGCCGTTTCCCCTCTCTGCGTGGAATCCCATGCGAAATTTGACTCCTCCTTCAACAGCCATAACGGTGCATTGAAAAGGGTCTTGCCGTCTTTGAAAACATCGTAGAAAAGATACTCCATTATTGGAATCTAGCGTCCGGCTATTCTAGCAAAGCCACCAGGCATGAATAAAGAAGAGAGGAGTGACTGCGCGCTGTTTTTGATTTTTTTTTTTTTCACTTCTACTCACCCGTGCCAAAATCATATGCTTAAATAAGGGCTTTCCATTAACCAGTTTTGGCTCTGGGTCGTGTTGTTCGCCCAAGTTCGCGCAGATTGAAACAAAACTGCCGGCACTTGTGCAGTGTTGACTTGCCGCCCGTCCTGATGTTGATATCCAGCATCATTCTGGATATTGCTTTGTTCAAATGCCGTATTCTCTGCCGCAGGCCGGGCTTAGGGCCGAGGCTAACATCTAGCAGCGTAACGGGGACTGTGCATTCTACGGGGCGCCAATTGGGCACTTGGAACGTACATCTTCTCTTATTTCCGGCTTCTAGGCTAGGGTAGCCACACAATGCATGATGCGTACTTGACACGGATATCCGGGTGCGAGGGAGTCCGCGAGCTTCTGAATTTGGACTCACGCAGCAACTGCATAACCTTTAATTAGTTGATTCGGCCTTGTCCCCTGGATTAATCCGTCCTGACTATGCGCATGGAAATAGAATAAACAGAGACAAATGGTTCGAACACGCTGGAGTTGGAATACAGCCCTGGAGTTAAGGGGTTGCCTTTTCTTTGTTTCAGCGCATCTAGAAGCTCCATAACAGGAAATGCCCTGATGTACATGGATTGTTGCACATACTTGGCTTCCTACGATTAAACCTGCCCTTACTCCGTCACCCTCTTCTTCCATCTATAGTATTACCATTATAAGTTACCAAATCCCAATGCAAGGTGCTTCGTTACATACTTCCCTATTAGTAAATAGAGCATTAAATATTGCGCTTTAAAAAGGTAAAAAAAAGTATATAATAATATTTATTATAAGCTTTAAAGCTTATAAAGTACTTAAAAAAGTTTTAAAAGGTATATTAAAGTAAATAAAACAGTTTAAGGGCTTATAACCTAATAACTAGTTAATAGTATTATTTATAACAACCCTTTAAATTATTTATATATAGCAAGCGGTAAGTTATAAAAAAAACCTTAACTATCACGTACTGCGCTAGTCCTAATCAGGATAGGCGCGTCCCGGGCGCCGTCCGACAGAACCTACTGGCGAGAAGCCTTCTGGCCCCACCATCCACCCCACCAAGGGTTCCCCTGCGAGGGCTGCTCCCAACCACTGTTACCCCAGGGGTTCGCAGCCTGCGTACCGGTCGGCGCAGCGGAAGCCGTAGGGAAAGATGCGGTGGGGTAAGAAGCAGCGGTGGTGGACGGCTGAACGACAGCCTCCTCAGTGGGGAGCGAGACGTAGCCGGCAGTCTGGGATGTTGCGGTAGCGGTGGCGGTGGGGACATAAACAGGGGCGGTAGAGGTGACAGCGACAGCGGAGGAGGTGCGGCTTGACGAGGAGGACGAAGAGGAGACGGAGGACAGATCGTAGCGGTCCTTGAGGTTTCGCCACCAGTCGCGGAGCATCCAGTAGTCGAACTCGGTGATTTCGGTGGCGCTGCCGGAGAGCATGATGAAGCTTGTTACGCCGGTTGGGGTCCAGTCGTAGAAGTCTGCATTCTATCAGTAAGTGTATCTTTTGTACGGGTGGAGGTGAGTGAGCATACCGTCCAGAGCGAAAGTGTGGCCAATCTCGTGCAGGTAGATGTGGATGTTCTCGGTCTCGAGGTTCTCGAGGAAGTAGTCGGAGCCGACGCGCTGGCCCCAGTCGCCGCCGGTGCCGCCCTCGAAGCCATCGGTGAGCCAGAGGCTGTTGTCTGGGTGCTGTCAGTTTATTGTCGGTTATGGATGTCAATTCGCATACCGTAGTGACGGTCAGCGCCAGCCGCACAACCGCTGTAATCGCCGTCCTGGTGGAAGAACCGCCCACAAGCCTCCGCGCACTGCGGGATTCCATCGGCGTCGGTGTCGGTGTAGACGTCAATGTCCGAGGTGTCTCCCTCAAGCAGGGACTCATCGCTCACGGCCCATCCGACAACGTTGACTTCGACAGTATCGTACGGCCAGCCGTCAAATCCAGCGAGACCGGCAATCCACTTGTTGTAGGAGCGGCTGGCAGCAGAGGCGATTTGGGAACGCTGCTCGGCGGTGACGGATTGGGAGGAGTCCCAGCGGACACAGTAGTTGATTTTACCGCCGGCGGCGATGACCTGGTCGAAGCCGTAGTTCTCGAAGCCCAGGGCGTCGCTGTAGGTTTCGACTTCGTGGTCCCAGACCTGCCTGGCGGTTAGAATGTCCGTTGATTAGGATTGATGGGCCGTACCTCTTGCAAAGGAGTGACGAGGTCGGAAGGGGGATCCCAAGTGCTGGGAAGGCTGACATCGCGTTTTCCGTGCGAAGAACCGGACTTGGGCACGCCGATGTGCCAGGGGAAGCTGCGGTCAGTCAAGGTTGAGAGAGCGGTGCTCTTGACAGGGTGGGCGGCAACATAGCTGGCCAGCAGCGGAAGCGCGGTAACAGAAAGAGTGGTCTTCATTTTGGCAAGGAAAGAAAAGAACGAAATTGCAGCTAGTCAATAGCTATGCAGAAGAGAATGACTTGATTGCTTCCATGATGGGTCTGCGAGCTACCTATATAAATATTCATCCTGAAACAGGGGGTCCGGGGACAGGCTTCTGCTATACTTGGCATTAAATCTTGGCAAGGCCAGAGCCGGCGCAGGTGAGGCCCTATACGGAGTAGAGCATGTCCGCTTAAGTAACGAGGGTCTTGACTGTGAAGAACCAGGGATAGCTCCAGGGGAAAGCGCCACTAAATGGTGCGTGATGGCAGCATGGCAGCCACCGAAACATCCGTCAAACCGCGTGCGGAGCGGCCAAGCTTCCGTCAATTAACAAGAAACAGCAGTGCCCCTGCCCGGCGAGACGAACTGCAAGCCAGCCCTTAACCAGCCCTTGGCCGTAAGGCTTGGTTCACTTATTCCGAGACGGTGGGTCACTCGGATAAATTGCTGTTCGGCGGTCGCAAATCCGAGCGCAAAGCCGAGGCTGCCCTGGCCCTGGCCCTGGCCGGCGGGGCTTTTCGGGTTATGGGCTGACAGTGACGCAGTTGGCAGGTGGCACTGGCAGATGGCAGATTTGTCGCATGGGTGCCTGGCACGATATTCCTCGACACCTCCTGACAGCGACAAGAATGAGCCCCGGTTCACGATTACTGAAGAAATTAACACGGAGACAAGCCGACCCGTGCCTGTTCACCTATCCCTTTTCCGTGCAGTCCTTAGTCGTCCATTTTGCGATTGTTTTTGCGCTGCGGGCGAAGCAGCGGCCGAGCCGGGAGTTAACGCAGCTGGGCTTCCGGCTAGTGAACGTCGACAGGAACGAGAACTTGCGCGAATGGTACCTCAAAGTCAATCCATATGGCCGAGTATGTCGTGTGACTCGTTGGTTTTAGGATTTGAGCTAAGTGTTGTAGGTGCCGACCCTCACGTATAGCGCGCTTCCGTCGCCGTTGACCGACGCGCTGTCAATCGTCTACTGGATATGCGACCAATGCCCGAGTCTACTTCCCAAGGCACACCAGACTGAAATATGTCGACTACTGACGCAATTGCACGAGGCCCTTGACCGCTACGGCGCGGCCAACCCGACCGTGGATGACCTTCTGACCAACCATGACATCACACCTACCCACCGCAAGGCCCTGGAGTACAAGCGCGACTGGTGTGTTCCTGGACCCTGAACTCTATGAAAAGGCTATTGCTGACAGCGACCAGCCAGAGAAAGCAACGGGAATTGGTGTCGCAAAACCTGTCAGACGGGCAGAGTATGACAGCGAACTCAGTCTCCTTCATGAACGAGATTGTCGAGCTGCGGAATAAGTACAGCAAAGGCGGAACCTGGATTTTTGGCGATAAAGTCGGTCCGACTGTGCTTGACGCGCATGTCGTTCCCTTTGTTACACGGCTAGAAGATATCGGCTTGGATGACCTTGTCCCTGACCAATTGCGCAAGTATGCGGGAAAAATAAAGAAGCTGCCGCAAGGGAAGGAGGCGATGGGGCAGAGACCGACGGTGTGGGACGCCTCACTGGGACCTATAGACGAGATCCGACTATGATTGCATGTGATATGACCTGTATGAATATTTAGAACTATACACGTTGAATAGACAAGAGATCGCGAGATGAAGACAAACCTTGGGCTTCTTGGTGTAATTCGTCGGCTAGGACTCGGGCCAGGAATCGTGCGACAAAAGCATGACATTGCAATCAGTACACCAAGTTGTCATAATATCGCCCGTCCATCCCGGCCATGGCCCGCGCATCCCTGTTGAAAGGCTCTTTGAGACCTCCAACGAAGTACTTGCGTACGTTCGAGCGGAACACTTCGACCGGATCGGTCTTCTCTTGCTGGCAGATCCACGCAAGCCATCTATGACCGGTCGTGACATGCGTAATCTCATCGTTGTGTATGATTTCAAGAGCCTCAACGCTTTCGGCATCACGTGCATTGCGAAACTTGGCGATGGTCATCGGATTGACATCAAGCCCGCGAGCTTCATGGACGAGCGCGATGATGCTGATTCGCGCGCGCAGATCGTGTGCCGTCTTGGTGGCCGACTCCCAAAGACCGTGATGAACTGGAAGAGCGCCGAAGTAGGAGCCCATTTCCTCCAGGCGAGTACGGAGTAACGAGAAATGCTTCGCCTCGTCGTTGGCTACCTTGAGCCAATCGTGGAAGAAGGTTCGAGGCAGTTGCCGTGCAGATTCTGGCGCGTCTGGGCTGGTTTGGAATTCAGCGAAACGCACACAGATATCGATAGCCAGGTCAATGGCCCATTGCTCAATGTTGGCCAGAGCATGCAGCATGGCGATTCTGCTCTTCAGACTTCCTCCTCTTCCTGGCTTTGGCATGGCGCCGGGTCGGACTTCTACGAGGCTCTTCTCCCGCGGTGGTGTAGGAGGAAGCGATGCAGGACCTCCCCGAGTGATTGTCATCGGTGAAGAAGTTCCCTCCCGCTTGGTGAAGGTTGAGAAGAGGTGAGCAGTGAGTTCAATCTTGTGTTCAGAGTTCGAGGTATTCAGGATGTGGGTGCACCAGTCACAGAGCGTCGCATCATCGTCAAGATATTGCGCGGCAGTTAACGGTGTCGGAACAGTGTCGGCTGGAGCCGTGGGCTCTGAGCACGGCGTCTTCAACTTGATCTTCTCGCTGACAGGTTCCAACTTTGCGATTGACACATTTTCCGGGTAGTTCAGAATGACCGCGTCCTCTTGGACGTCAACCGGGAACGTGCACGCCTTGATGCCGACGCTCGATTCGCCCGTCTCCACATTGAAGTCATACGCGTGCCATGGGCAAGAGGCGATATACGCGGAGTCCTCAATGTCAATCTGCGCAGCTTCCATAGGACCGCCTGCATGCGGACACTCTGCTTCCATGGCGTAGTAGGACCACCCATCTCTGCTCTCGTTATTCGCTCTGCTTCGTCCCGCAGTGTCGATGGAGGGTAGCCGGAAGAGCACTAGGCGCTTCCCATCCGACAAATGGATAACATAGCGGGTGTGCGTGAGCTCAGAGAGCACTCCAAGGCTTAGATTTGGCATCTTGAGAGATACTGAGTGGTTGTTGTGAAGAATTGCTGATGGCAACAGCATCGAGAAAATTGTTGCCAAGCACGTGGGGCTGCTCATGCCACTAAATACGAATACGATGAGGCACGTGGAGACTGTGGGCGGTCAACATCGGCAGTACCTATTCTGGCCCCGCGGACGTCTCCGCGGTAGTCGGATGGCCATCCCGACGACACTACAAGCAGAAACTGAGCCAAATCAGCCCATGAAGCGTCACTCATCTACTTTATGTCTACTAGACACACTGGCTAATTCTTGAAATCAAGCTAACATCACATGTACCAGTCTCCTTCCATACGGTCTTAACTTTGGAAGCCCCGACGAAATGCCTTGAGCCTTGTACCGGCTGCGACAGCGATTGAGAAACCGACGCAGAATTCCCTTCCCATCCACGGGCGCGCAGAACTGTCTCCCAGCTCAGTCTGCCTCTCGAACTAAACAATTCATTTCTCCGGCTGAATACCGCTGAGGTCACGACGTGTCAAACTTGCGTACGCACCGCCGGACGACGTCAAGCTGATTTACCAGGATGGGATGGAGGATCACCATACAACGGCTGGGGCTGGCTGAGAGAAAGGCGTAGTGGTATCCCACTAGGATTGCCTATGCTCGTCTCGTGGACTCCCAATTCCTCAAGAAGGCTGGTCCATCAGACAGCCATACGCCGAAAATGTGAAATTCCTGAGGCTTTTGCCCAGTTCAGTTTTGCATGCCTTTTGTTATCAGCCGGCGGTGGCGTTGTTGGGCTCATCGTATTGGGCGTATAGCATATCTGTCTCTACTGTGATGGACAGTTAGATGGTGAAAGGCTCATTCCAAGCTTGAGTGTAAAGCTGGAGGCATTTTCCCTGCTTTCTGTCGATCGTGTCCTTCCATTACCATTGGATCTTCACTTGCACAAAATCCTCCGTTTAAATGGACAAATTACACCCATTCTTCCCCTTTATTGCTATGTCTCTTGGGCCGGGCCAGTGAGGCTCTGTCGGCTGAAGAACTAAAGGTACCTATAGAGGCGGGGTAATTGACATTTAGCATCGGCCTTACTCTTGTCACACTCGCTCCATCCAATAGTGCTCCTTTCCCGCGCAGGGCATCTCAACCCCGGTCGCAGGTGACGCGTACAAATAGGCCTAGCTCGTCTTCCAGACTCATCAAGCTGAAGCCCGCGTTGCAACTTAGGACCACGTTCGGCCAGGCATAAGGCCGCCGGCCAGAAAAGGCGCAAACTGTCTCCATCCAGCTTAAATCGGCTATTTACTCACTACTTCAATATCGTTAGTTCGAGGGACTAAGTCATGGAGCCCAATAGCCTCACCCTCGCCCTCGCCCTCGCCGGAGTTCCCCAAATCTTCGTCAGCTGCGTCGAATGTTTCCAGTACATCCAGTTCGGGCGCGAGTTCGAAGGCGCTCTGCAGATCAACCTGTGCAAGCTTGAAGCCGCAGAGATGCGGCTTACGCGCTGGGGCCGCGCGATGGGTATTAACGGAGCCACTAAAAAGCTTAGCGAGCACGACTACGCCGAAGACGATATCATCAAGGCATATCGCTGGCTCGAACAGATCAGGTGCGCATTTGACGAGACGGAGAAGACATCAGAGCGATATAGGGACACACGTACGGCCAAGGACAGAAATAACGCGAAGCTGCAGATCCTAGATAAAGGCACCCAGACAACCGACCCCGCAGACAACATTCTGAGCTCTTTGCGCACTAGCATACACCGCGTCAACGAGGAACGCGTTCAAATCCGCAAGCGAGATCGCGTGGCCTGGGCGCTCTACCGGAAGGGCCACTTCGAGACTTTGCTGGAGACAATCAACGACCTCATCAGCGACCTGGTGGAACTCTTTCCGGGAGCCGTCGACGAGCAGAAGCGACTTTGCCGGGATGAAGAAGTGCAGGGTCTCAACGCTGGAGAACTGCAGGCCCTAGATGGGATTCTAGGGCGGGAGCTGGAAGATGATGTTTTCAAGGATGTTTTGGGAGAACTGACCCTCGCTCGGCCGGACTCGAACTTGTTCTTTGATATCCATGTCCAGGACCACTTCCGCGGCCACTTTGGGGATCATTTTGGCGAGGCGGAGAGGAGTAGAGCTGGGGTTTATGCTAAGGTCAGGGTTGGTGGTAGTGCGGTTGCGCACTTTGGGGGTAATTTCAGTGTTTCACCTAAGGCATCGGGGCTAGGTGACTGAGGGCTGCGTCCGGTTTTTTCGTTCTCGTTTCAGACTCAATGATGGCTCTAAATTGATATTCCAGCTATGTGACAACCAGATGAAGTGTGATCTTAATTAAAGTTTAACAAGGCCTTTTGTTATTGGTGTGAAGGCCAGCGCGTCTTCGCCTAACACAGCATCTTTGAATGTCAAGTTATTGATCTATGTAGACATATTTAATCATGGATATAATTTCAGCTCCATATAGGTACTATAATGGGGGCCATTCCGTCCCCAACCGCGTCCCGATATATATTGGTCCATTCAAGACCAGTCGACATCCATGCCATTCTCGGCATATTTTCAGACTTTAGAATTACCTCTTCGGTACTAAGTCTCATTTCCCCCCAAGATATGCTCGTTGCCTGTTGTCTTTGCCAGTGTGTTTATAAGGCCCTTCGAATACCGTGCAAAGGAAAGTTATCGATTGAATAGATACTAGAGAATTAAATAAGAAACACAATTATATTTAAAAGCTGGAGCTAACTAGGGTTTATATAAATAATTTAAGCTTTTAAAAATAATAAAAATTTTAAATACTTTTATTAATACTTTATAATATTTAAAGAACTATAAATATTATAATTATACAGGCAAGTAATTTAATAATAAGTATTATAATATTTTAATTAAAATTACTTAAAATACTTAAGCGCTATTAAAGCGCTATAATACTTTTTTATTAAATTAAGTAATTTTTATTATTAGTTAACACGCCCCCTTAACACTTATTTACTTTTAAATTAGTTAAAAATAAGGCTAGAGATATTTACTAAACCTAGTATTTTAATAAATTTTTAGTATTATTATTTAATAAGCGCCTTTATAAGGCTATTTATAATTATTTAGTTAATAAGGGTTTATTTAATATAAAGGTTTTTATACTAAACTTCCTACCTAAGCTATAAATTATAAATATTAATATAATAAAGCTTTAAGTAAAGTTATATATTAATATTAATAAAAATATTAATTATTTATTTATTATTATATTAAATTAAAAATTAATATTAAAAATTAAATTATATAACTTTAAAAACTTTTTACTACTAGTATATTACTTTAAAGGCCTTAGTAAAAGCAAGCAACTTTACCTTAATAATAAAGGTAATAATTAAATACTACTTTATGGCCTTTTGTTTAATTAAATTTTTATATAGCTTATAAATATAGCCTGCATTAAAAAATTAATTAAAGTAATTTATAAATATTATATTAAAGTATAACTTATAAATCTTATATTTTTTAATAAAAACCTTATTTCTAAATGTAAGACCAACAAGTCTTGAAGATCTCTACTAATAATAAAGATATTAATAAAGGAATTTAATTAATAAGAATAGAGTATTTTAAATCCTGTTAAATAATATTAAAAAAGTTACTTAAAGATTTAGAAAAAAAGGCTAGCCTTAAAACTATTTTTATAAATTTTTAAGCTATACTTAAGTTATTCTTAATTAAAAAGTAAATATAAGTTTAAATATTTTACGCATGGGTTTTTATTTTAGCTTATACTTAAGGCTTATTTTAGCCTTACTTAATTAATAGCTAAAACCTTAAATATTAATAACCTAGTTAAGTTATATAGCTTAATATAATAATAAAATATATTAAGCCCTTAATAGCCTAAGGCTAAAGCTTAGGTTACTTAAGGTATTAATTTTAAATTAATAGTAAATTAACTTTAGTAATATTAAATAAAAAAATATTAGCCTTAATAATTTTTTTTTTAATTAAAGGGTTGTTCGCGACCTGCTACTAAACTAAAAAAAAATAATAATAAAATATTACTATTATTATTAATATTAATACTAAACACATTTTTATTATTATTATTTTTAATTTTATTAAAATATTATTTAATATATTAAATTTAGTATTTTATTTTTATTATTTATAGCACTTTAAATAAAATATAATATTTATTTATAATTAAAAGGGGAAAAGCAGCACTTTAATAATACCTAGTATAAAAATATAAATTATAGCATAGTTTATAGTTTTATAAATTTTTAAACTTATTAAATTTTTTACTAAATAAAAAGTTACCTTTTTTTATTATAACTAAAAAAAAGCACTTTTAGGCGCTGCCCTAGCTTTTTAATAAATAAAAAAAAAGTGCCTTGCTATAACTATAATAATTTAAAATATTTTTATTTTTATTTTTTATATTTTTATTATGGTATAGTTTTAAAACCCCTTTAGTATAATATTTTTATTAATTTTAAAAGCCCTTAGTATTTTTTAATTTTTTTTTATGCTTGTTTCCCTTTAGGTTTAAAAATTTTAATTTTAATTAATTTTTAGGTAGTAATAATAATAATAATAACTAGTATAACTTGTATTTAATAAGCACTTTTAAAATATATAATAAGATTATAAATAATAATTTAGTAAGTTTTTTTTATTTTAATAATTATTAACTAGTGGCGCTTTACCAGCGCTTTACTAAATATATTAACTTTTAATTTTATAATAACTATTTTATTATTTAACTATAGCCCCCGTGCTTTTTAGCTTGCCTTTTTTTATTTTACCCTACGCTATGCTAGCTATTATTATTATTAATATTTTTATTATAGGTTTTATGCTACCACCCCCTTAGGCTTTTTTTTTTAGCCTTTAGTTTTTTTTTTTTATAAGTACTTTTTATTTTTAACTAGTCCGCTAGTGGAATACCTTTAATATAAATATTAGTTAATAAAAAATAAATTTGCTTATAATACATAAAGTATATTTAGGCATGTAAAAATAATAGGTTAATTAGAAATTTTAATAACTATATTTATTTAGCCCCTGGGCGTAATTACTTTTATTATATTTATAATAAGGGTACTTGCCTCCCCCTGCTATTTTATATAAAAAAAATATTACTTTTTTATAATAAATAAACCCTAGTAACCATAATAAATATATTTATTATTAAAATATATTTAATTATTAGGTTAAATTAATAATAAAGGCTTATAAAAAAAATAAGCCCTAAGGTTTATATAATAAAAATATTAGCTTTAATTATTTAAAAGCTTATTTAATTTTTTTAACTTATTATTAAATAGCCCTTGGCCTATTTTAATAATAGCTAGAATAGCTACTAGTTTACTAATATTTTTTTTTTAAAAAACAAGCCTGTCACGCCTTTTTTTTTAAAAAATACTAGGTATAAAAAAATACTTATAAAGGCCCTTACTTTTACTCCTGCTTTTAATATTAAGTAATAGTTTTTTATTATAGCCTTGCCGCGTAGTTAGTTATTATTTTTTTTAATACTTTAACTTTAATATAAATATAGTTTTTTATTTTAAATTATAATTTAAAATAAGTTTTAATACTAAGCCGGTAGTGTTTTAGCTATAATTTATTAAATTTTAAAATTTTATAAAAAAATAAAAAAGGTAATTACTTTACTTATAGCCTTGGGTATAATTTTAAAATTTTATAAAATAAAAAATCTTGTACCCCTTTTAAAGCTATAAGTAACTAGTAATAATTAAGTAATAATTTAATAATTTTTTAATAATACTAGCGGTTTATTAAACCTTAAAACCTAGTAAAAAAAAAGGTATTTAACTTAGTAAAATTATTACCTTTTTTTTAAACTAGTAGTAAATTAATATTATTATAGCTAGTTTTTTATAATTTACTAGGGCTTTTTATGCATACTTAAAATTAAAAAATAATTTTTATAAGTTTTTATAGCTAGGCCAGCCCTTTTATTTAATAAGAAATTTATTATATTTATAAATATATTATTTTTTAAGAATAGCTTTAACTTTTTATTCTTTTTTTTTATTAACTAACTTTATAATTAGTAGTTATTTTTTTTCTTCCTTAGGCTTATCTTATTATATAAATAGCTTTAAAAAAAATATAAAATACTAAATAAATTTTTAATTATTTATATATACTAGTAAGCTAGAGCTAATATACTTACTTTTTAATAATAAATTTAATTTTAAAGGGTTTATTATACTTTAGGTTAAGTTTTTTACTTAAATATATTAATTTAATATTTTTTAAAAATATTAAAATATTATTTTTAACCTTAAATTTTATTAAATAATATTTTTAATTATAGTAAAGTACTTGCTTTTTTTATACTTTATTTATATAATTTTATAAGTTTTTATAAAGCTATTTTAAATAGTATAAGCGCTTTTTAATAAAAAAATAAAATATTAATTTTTTTAGGTTTTTAAGCCTAAAAATTACTAGTTTTTATTTATAATTTATTATAAGCAAAGTATAGCTAGTTAAGTTATTTTTTAAGTTATTATAAGTAAAGCGTGCTAGTAATAAGCATAATACCTAATTATTTTACTAGTAATTATAATATATATATAAATATACTTTAAGTATTTAGTTTTAGCGCTTGGTTTAATTATTTAATTAAAAATAATATATTATATTAAGTTATTACTTAATATATAGCACTTAATAAAAAGCTATTTAATACTTTAAAGTAAAAAATAAATCTTAATTTATTATTATGCTTTAAGGCAACCCTATATTATATATAATTTTTTTAATAAATAAGTTAGCTAACTTTTTTATAATAATTTTATTAATAATAAAAAAAATATTTTATTTTTTTATTAAATTAATTTATAATTACTAAAATTATGTTATAAACGCGCCTTTTATACTTTAATAAAGGTAGGCTAATAATAAAGTTTATAAAAATATTTTTTTATAACGCATTTAGTACTAAAAAAATATTAAACTTTTTTAAGGTAATTACCTTAAAACCTTAAACCTTTAATATAAGGAATATTTTTTAATATACATTTATATATTTTTATTAAGCTTTTTTTATTAAAACTTACGGGTAAGTAATTTAATAGTTTTTTTATAGCTAAAATAGCTTATATAAGAATTATTATAATATTATTTTATAATTTTATATTATAACGCGGGCACGGGAGGTATATAAATAATATTTTTATAAAAAAAAGTTTTTTTTTTATGCTATTTAATAA